GGAGGGCTTATTTGAGAAACCTTAAACAAAAAGGAAATACTGAAAAGACTTACTGTGTTCAAGGTACTTGGCACACAAAAAATGGCCTCTATCTCACCATGATTTACTATATACTTAACAGCATCAGGACCTGTCAGTGAATCAGAAAACGTAAAAGTTAATGGAGTTAACCAGACGAAGAACCTTTAACTGAATGCAGACTTACACACCAAGGGTATCATATAAAGGAACTGATATGTACGAATATGCTGAGCAAGCATGATCGACGATCAGCCATTCCGGTCTATTGATAAAATAAAGTCCAACACGAGCTCCCTGTTCCAGCAAAAAATACATGTCAGTGCATAATAACTTGATATTCATGTAAGCATTTCATACAAGAAAATGATTATATAATTTGAAAAAATAAAATTGAATATTCATTGAAGGAACTGGCTGTAGATATCTTTTTGTTAGGTTAAATAACAGGTCCAGAAACTACCCCTTTCCATATCTCTTATGGTAAGGTGCTTTAATGTAACAAATTGTTAATGAATGCAACCAGAGAGAGAGAGAGAGAGAGAGAGAGAGAGAGAGAGAGAGAGGGAGGGAGGGAGGGAGGGAGGGAGGGAGGGAGGGAGAGAGAGAGAGAGAGAGAGAGAGAGAGAGAGAGAGAGAGAGAGAGAGAGAGAGAGAGAGAGAGAGAGAGAGAGAGAGAGAGAGAGAGGGGAAAAAGTAAATGCAGCTTACTGATTGTAATCCATGATGACGAAGTCCAGAACCTATTGCTGATCGAGCAGTACCTGCCTCCCCATAGGTCATCCATTTGTACCTATGCATCGCGAAAAAGAAACGGTAAGCAAAAAGAAAATTGAAGGGTTACTTACTTTTACTACAAAAGTATCTTTTTACCAATATACTTACTCTCCAACAGTGCCATCTACCCGTATACGTGTGCCCAGATATTTGTAGTCTTGGAAAGTTTCAACTGAATGTCTGAAATCACCAATTACATTATAACAGAAAGATGAATTGCCAGCTAGTTAAACACAAGTACATATTTAGGAAGATTTCATCATAACATCGAAAAGGTATTAGCCTTCTTTTTTTTTTTTGGAACTTCAAGGAAGAGGATTTATAAGATACTAGTATCGGGTGAAACATGTGCATCCGAATATCACAGTAAAAAAGGTAAAAATTCTCACACAAAGTTATCATGCAATGTGCCAATCTCTGGATAATCAGCGAATCTGGTAATGAGTTTCAAAGGAGAACGTGCGGATCTGTCATGAGATAAACATTATAAATATGTCAAATACGGATCTTCATG